AGGGCCTCCCATTCGGGAGCCCTTTTGATTCCTGGCTTGCATCAGATTGTACAGTGCATCCTGCGTCTTTGTCGACGCAAGGATATTAAAAAGAATCATTCCGTCTTGCCGAACCCTCATGTGTCCCGATTCCCCATTACACCGAAGATCCCGAACACGGACATCTCGCTTAGGCGGGATGGCAAGGGCTCTGCAACACGGCTGATTGAAACTATCCGCTTTCACACCTGTTTAGGTAGAAAAGGAAGTTTCTGCGGTTCAAGCGGCCACGGTGAAAATCTTGTCAATCCTTGCAGCTGTGTCGTTCACGGCAGGTTGGCACTCCACACTCGTATATCCGTAGCTCGAAGCCCTGTCATGCACCGTTGAAGCAGCCTATCTCCTGTTTCTCGAAAGTCACGAACCGCATGTTTGATCATGGTCACTGTCGTTCTGATGGTGATGATCGGACGGCTGAGGAAGGTCCAAAACAGCTGGTTGCGTGACTGTTGTGGTATTTGTGGTACTAGTGTTGATGCTGGTGGCGATGATAATGTTGATGTTGCTGCTGTTGATGATGCGAATGATAATGATGATGACGAGGACGAGGATGAGGGTGTTGATGATGATGATGATGATGGTGATGCTGATCGTGTTGATGACGACGATGATGATGATGATGCAGAGGAGGATGACCATAATGATGATGATCGTGACCATGATGATGGTGATGACGATGATGACGAAGACGAAGCCGACGAATATGATGATGATGACCGCGGTGACGATCCTGAATGATCCTGAGATTGTTGATGAAGCTTTATTGATGATGATAACCAACATGACAGTGCTAGAGATTGCAAAGATGGCTCTCACTCGGATATGCGTCCGACACCATTGCTAGTCACGCCTTCTCCAGTTAGCAGTTCCTTCGTCAAAGCTGGTGCTTCTCATTTGCGTGAGAACGAGCATAGGGCGGTTGGTGCATTCATGCGACCGCGATACTTACAACGCTTCGATTTGCTTTTCCGCGCTGCGGGTTGTGCATTCCGGGGCTGCATGTCGTACGGACTGTACAGACGAACATTTCAAGCACTGCACCAATCTACTTACATAACCCAGCACCCCGAACTGCCCACCAAACTCGAAAACACCACGACCTAGAGGCCAAAACAAACACAGAAGTGCAAGGTGACTCGGTCACTGAGGCCGAGACCTTCAATCAAGCTTGCCCTCTTGCCAAGGCGAATCACCTTGGGTAAGGTGGTAAACGCCAACGAAACACAGCAGGACTAGGGCCGATACACAACAATCAAGGGGGCTTAATAAATAGAATAAGGAACTGGGATATATTGTACTATAATACCGAATAATACTAAGAAGGAACCCCAAAATACGACTCTTCTTCTTCTGATGGACCTCGGAGCCCTGAGGGGCGCGCAAACTAGTATGGGTAATTATTTCAGCTCCTGTACTACAGCCTACGGTTTAGGTAGGGTGTAGGGGTTAGGGGATTAGGGTTTAGGGGTTTAGGGGTTTAGGGTTTAGGGTTTACTAAACCCTGAAGCTTCAACAAGGCTATGGAGCCTGAGTTTGGGCTCCGGTGTTCAGGGCCCAGACTGATCATACTACCATACAAGGATCAGATGGCCAATAGCTCAGAACCTTAAGCCCTAAAGCCCCCGAAGAGCCAGAACCCTAACAAAACCGCATGAACACCAAAACGCAGGACTCTAAAGTCTCTCAAGCTGAAAACTCAGACCCTGGTGGCCGGCCCAGGCAACAGGTCAAAGATACTGCAGAAGCAAATGTCCCTTCATGGTAATCACAGTGCCACCAATGATAAGTTAGCTTTTTCTAAGAGAACTGCACGTGTATGTATACATACAGTTACATATACACATATACTTTTGAATTTATACGTGCGTATATATATATATATATATATATGTATAGATGTGTGGCTTATCGGGTTTAGGCTCCGGATATGAGGGTTGATGATATAAATCCTGCATTACCCATAATAAGGAATATACCATAATTTCCATAGCTTAGGGTCCTTAAGGTCATGCAGGATTTGTATCATCAACCCTAAACCCTAAACCCTATAGATCCCTTACAGGAGCCCCTTAAAGGTAACGCTTATAGATCCCTTTAAAGGAAACCTAGGATTTCTATCATCAGCCGTAGGGAGCCCATGGGTGCAAGCAGAGCACGTAATGCTCACCAGCGCCGACTCCCAGTTATGCTGACTTTTGGGGTCCTGGTCTGGTACTACAGGGGCCTTAATAATTCGCCTCGGCCCCGGCCGAAGCGGTCAGAGGTTCCTATTCGGATTCTCCTATTCACCACCTCTTAATCCCCTCCCCAGTGACCCCACCCCCAAAATCGTGGCCACCGCCCCCCCCCCCGCCCCTAAAAAATGGAAACGTGTCGATGAGCCCCAAGGCCCATACTTAAGGCATCCCGCCGCTTGCGAGAGTCTTGGTATCCAGTGTTTCGGAATGACGACACCAAAATTGGTACTGATACTACCACTACTAATACTACTCACAATCATCCTGCTTCGTGTTGCTATGAACATTACTTTTACTATAAGTGCGATTCCAACTGTTACTTCTTTCCTACAAGAGCTTGCTGCAGATAGTAGCCACTCACCGCATGCGCGTGCAGCCGGGCCGAGGCGGACGACGCGCAGCGTTTCAATTAGAATAGGGCTTTGGGGCCCATGATGCCATACTTAAAATAAGGAACCACCAAAATAGTATAGTTGATTATTTAGGCCCCCATAGTAGGGTTTAGCACTCGGGGTTAAGGGTGTGGGGTTTTGGGTTAGGGGCTGAGGGTTTCCGATTGCAGAATTCCAAAGCGCCGCAGCAATGGAATGCTGACACGGTGGACAATCAAATCTAGCAAGCATAGACAAACCCTCAGACTCTCGATGGCTCTGGAACCGAACAACCTTGAACCCCTATAGCTGGCAAACCATGGGCTCCTACAAAGCCGGAATAGAACCGAACTCTTGCCCTCCGTGAATCTCCGCATCTACACACACACAAAATGGGGGCCTCAATAACTCTAATAGGGTTTCCGGGCCCATTATACTTTTCTCTAGTCAGGAACGCGGAAAATGGTATTGGTAATCATAAAACCGCGAAATCACACGAACCGCCACCGCGGAAATCCCTACGTCCAAAGCCGACTACACAGGTCCTTGGTCAGCGCTTCTGCGGCTTTCATCAATTGAGGAATACGCTCACCTCGGCATGTGCATAGGGGGGACAAACGGCTGTGGGGGAATCCTCACAAGCTAATGAAACCATTGAAAAGTACTTTCTGAAAGTGCATCGTTAATGTAGGCTTCTGTGTAGTGGAGTAGCGGGGCGTCTGGCCACGCTTCGGGATGCTCGGTGCGAGCCGAGACTCTGGGCCCTGGGCTTAATGTCTATAATCTCGGGAGCCAGTAGATGCAATGTCAATCTAAACATGGGTTTAGGGTTGAGGTTTTGGGATTTCTACCATAAACCCAAAAACCCCTAATCCCTAAACCCCTATAAACCCTAAACCCCTAAACCCCGGACCCTGGGCCCTAACCACGGAACGAGCAGAGACGCTACGATCCGAAACCCATGCGGAGCTCATGAGGTCGGCTGTAATGACGAGACTCGACTCCAACAAAGATCCACGTAATAATACTGAGCTTGTTAGAATGGATAGTAATAATCATGGTAATACAAGTAGTTGGTTATTGTAAAATAATAATAATAGTAATGGTAATAATAACAATACTATCGATTTTTTCTGAGCTGAAATTTTCGTACTTGAGCTTGACAACCCGTGAATCGTCCAGGGACGACCCGATCGGCCCCCGAACACGGCTCAAACAGATCGGTCCCATATGGGAGTTTCCGAAAATAGGGGTACCTGATTTTGGGGTCCTTATAAAAAGGATACTCCTATTTAGGGTACCATATTAGGGTCCCCTATTTTCGGAAACTCCCATATATTGCAGTTTTACGCCACGGCTACACTTCGGGTAGACTTCACATTTAGAGCTCCTGGCTGCCCTGGCATGGGGAGTTAGGATTAGGGGGACCCTTGGGGACATAGACCCTCTCAATAAGGCCCCTTTTAAGAGAGCCAGAAGTAGGGTTCAGAAGGGGTACCCTTTAAGGGGTCTCCCTGATAATGCTACCTACGCATGTCATTTGCAGTCACAGCCTTCAACCGGACGCAGATGCGGGCGCTGACATCATGCCCTCTGCAAGCTTTCCCACATGATCGCTTTAAGTACCTATCAGCATGAAAGCAGCGCAACTGGTAGCAGCGCAACAGGAACTAAAATGACTGGAAATGGCTTCCAGCAACGACGACCAGGAACTGGAGACATCCGTGACCGGCACCTTTTCCAGAAATACAAAAGAGCTAGTACCCTGTCTGAAACCCTTCGTTTAGACTGCCGGCTGAGCGGCTGCAGCTGGCCAGGGCTTTGTATGCCTGGCGACACCAAAGGGCAGCCAAGCAACAGCTGCCACAACTAGAGCAACAGCAGCAAGAACAAGAACCAGAGCAGCAACGGCATCATCATGAAGAACAACAACCACAACAAGACTAGCAACAGCAGCAGCAGGCAGCATCTGGACCTCAATGCTGGCAGTGCATGCGGCTGGGGCTGCCGTGGATTCTGAGATGAGTCGAACACTCAATTGAAAAGCTTTCGTGGGTTGTCTACGAACCAGTTGCGGGTAAGTTTCCCAGAAAAGCTCCGTGCTACTTCTGGTCACAGCGTTCCAGATGTCTTCGGTTACCAAGAGCATTACAGGGCCTGGGAGATTTCATTGCCATTTTGGGCTTCGTGGAAGCCAGGCGCCCATCCGTCCAAGGTTCGTCTCACTAGTTTAAAGAAGACGACATGGGAAGTTCTCCAAATTAGGGTCCCTTTTCTGGCCTTTTTTATGAGGGGGCCGTGCTGTATTGGTGTCCTAAAAAAGGAAACTGATTCAGAGAACTACCCACATGATTTATGGAGTTCTCGCTGAGAATCGAAAAATATTGTTATTGCCAGCTTCCTGGCTCATTAGCTTTGCTGCAGCTTCCACGTCTCCCAACAAGCCCACCGTGCCCTGCATGTCGAGCAACATCACGACCACGAAAAAACCTAAGCCCCCAATGAAGCCTATAAGCCACTGCCCCAGCCTTGTTGGCATCGGCCATCTGAGTCTGAAGCGATCCCGTCCATTGCTTTATGCACTGGTTGAACTCGTGGATGCTCTTTGTAAGCATCGCTTGGACATCTTCTGCCTCACCATGAGCATGTTTGAAGAACTCTACTTCGTGGGCAGGATCAGGGGACCCCTCAGAAAGCTCGTCAGTTGAGATGCAATAATCATGCTGTGATCATGCCGCGATGAGAGTGCTGTTCGGTGTCCCTGTCAGTGTTGAAGGAGTGCAGCAAACCTAAGTTGCTTGTGCTCAATATCTCTCCAAAAGGAATGATCCTTGTCCTGAAGCCGCGAGAATTCTTCAGCGCGCTGGCTCCCCTGCCTCAGAACCCTACCTACAGTCTCCACCGTGGTTCCTTTTTGGGTTTAGCAAGCCTTTTATGTAGGATCCTACAAGGGAACCCCCCAAAAGGAACTACAACGGAGACTAGCGGTAAAGCCCAAAACTGCCTTATAGGGCCCATTCTACTATACCCATAATCAGGAGCCCCTCAAATAGTATAGGTAATCATTAAGGCCCCTATATTCTAAACCCTTATAGTAACCCTTATAGTAATCCATATAGATCCCCACAAAAAAGAAATCATTTTACAAAGGCCCAGTGTGAGGACTCCGGCCTTGAGAGGACCCTGCGCTGCGGTCTCTGCAGCGGAAACTGCCACGGCCGTGACGGTCGCGGTAGAGGCGGGGACGCTCACCTCCTTGTCCTGCTTGGAGGATCATGGGACTTATAACCCCAATTAGGGTACTTATAACCTTACTTACTAAGTCCCCTGATCCTCCAAGTGGCTTGCTTGTTTTCAGAAGCCTTTTCGGCAGTTCTTGTTGGGGCTGTGGGTCTAGGTTTTCGCCAGAGGTCACTAAACGTATCGGGGAAAAAGTGCCGAAACCTGTACCGGGCATTTTGCTCCCCAGTATGTTTCGAATTTCACTCTTTGGAGTTTCCGTCTAACCCTGTGCAAACCAGCTCGCAGCTGACGAAGCACAGGGATGTGCAAAAGGCACCATCGCACTGATTGGTACTACACGGCACAAGACTACACAACCACTACACGAGACTAGACAAGTACTGTAGTAAGTCAAACAGTTAGGCGAGAGGGAGAATCGGAGGGCCTTCTGTGACAGCTCGATCGCACTATATTATAGCAACAGGTAGTACAAGTATGATCGCAAAACTACGCGAGTTGGCATGTGTCAGACAGAAGACAACTGTGCTTATACCCCCTCCCATATGCATGCAGGCATGAAGACAGCAAGCGAGGAGAAGGAATAGCACAGAGTGTGAGAATGCACACGCCAAGCAAGACGGTTTCACTTCGAAGCTTTTGTGAACATTCTCAGCGAACTACCCGCAATGCCTCATGATCAGAGAAGCCTGAATACATCTGCGAAAGATCTACATTCTACATTTTGACGGACATAGTACCAACAAGACCCACCGCCTTGAACCGGCAACCTAGAACACCAAAACTAAAAACCTAAACCCCAACACCCCAAGCCCGTCAGTCTTCAATGCTAGTCAAAAAATGAATTCAAGCTAAAACTCCAAGTTAAGTTCCAACACCCTAAACCCTAAAGCCTCAACAGCAAAGCTCAGGCACCTCGGCCCTGGGGACGACTGCTATCGTAGCTTCGCCTCAGTGCACAGCTGCGGATGTAGCGTGAAAGCTTTCGGCTTCCCGGCTCGGGGTATGGGCTTTGAGGCTTCGAACTTCAGCTTTAAGGTTCAGGGCTTGTTATAACACTATAAAACCTATACATATCGACGTTCCGAATTATGATTCTTGTGTATAGTATAAGTGCTTAGAAAGCTAGGCAGTGGAAGTCTTGAGCCGGCCCGAGGCCAAAGTGGAAAGACTCTTGTGCCCTGAGGTTATTCTATGCGTGTTTGTATACTGTGTCTATGATATACATATCCATATATATATATATACACACATACACACATATATACACATATGTATATATATATATATATATAGATGTAGCGAGAGAGAGAGAGAGAGAGAGAGACAGAGAGAGAGCTAAGATTGTATGTATGGTGTATATGTATGTATGTATGTGTATATATATATATATATATGCTCACCCCCCCCCCGGTGACAGACCACGGGTCTAAAAAACACCGTGCACAACGATATTCTGTGAAGCAAAACCGTTACATGAGGTATATAGTATAGCACCAGACGTGCGGCACATGAGTTACGTAATAGTCTTGTGGTAGTATCGGTATTAGGGTGAGTATTGTTATTAATATTAGTACTATTGATTGCTGTAAGTATACCTATCAATATTGCCAACTATAAATTAGTGTTAGTGCTCATGTTCGCGTTAGAGTTAGCGCTAGTGCCAGTGTCAATGTCAGTAATACAGCACCACTGCTACGAGTAGTATCAGTATCAGTCTTAATGCTGGGTTTAACAGCAGCTTATATTCGCAGAAGTGCTAGTATTAGTATCAATATTAGAACTAGTTAGTTTTGATATGTTAGTATATTGATAGTCTCGTATATTAGCAGATTAGTATATCAATACATCAATGTATTCGGACAGCAAAATATTTGCATACTTGTATACTAGTATATTTTACATGTTAGTACAACTGGTGCATGACTACACTACTATACTGCTGTATTAGCTTACTAGTATATTGACATACCAGTATATTCGTACGTTAGCATATTAGTGTACGAATATGTGTACTATATTACTGTTTTATCTAATCATGTATAAGTATATCAGTATGTTGGCATATTAGTATACGAACTTGTCATGTCGGTATTCTTGCATAGTGCAGTAGCCGTATATGATTATAGTCACATATTCGTATAGTATATTCATACAACAACGAGAAGTATATTGATACATTGGTATATGGGTATATGCCTATGCCAAAGCATTAATACATGAATGCACTGATGTATATATCTGTATCTTAAGATAGTGGTACGTATTTTATGTACATGAGTATATGCAGGTGTCTATTAGTAATGGTATTAGTTTTCATATCAATATGAATATACTATTGGTATTCGTAGGAGTATTAATGTCAATACTAGTAGAAGTAGGACTATTTATACTCGTAATAGCCATAATATGAGTGTTCATGCTGGTAATACTAGTGGCATTCTTGAATATGCAGCAGATTATCAAAGTCCGTATTAGTGTTGGTGATAGCACTACTGTTAACGCACAAGGGTTTACGTATTCGTATTCGTAGGAGTATAAATAGCTATGTAAATATTGATGTTAGTATAGATTTTGTGTTAAGTATTAGCAGTAGTGTTAGCGTTAGTACTATCATATTATTGATGATATACATTCGAAAGAATGTTTGTATTGTTATTACTCTTGACCACGTGAAATTCTAACAGTTGAATTCATGAGTGAGTTAAAGGATTTGTATTTTAATATGGTGGTATGCATGTTTATGTACATTAGTACATACAGGTGTGTGTTAGTATTGGTATTATTATACATTATTATCAATATGAATATGGTTATTGATATGCGTAGGAGTACTAAGAGCAATACTAATCAATCTTAGTATTTGTGTTATGCATATTCGTACTAAGCTTTATAGAAGTGTAATATTAGTAGTAATGCTGGTATTAGCTTGAGCATTCAACAAATGATCAATGTCAGTATGTTCAATGGCAATACTATATGTAGGAGTATCAATACATATATGTATATATAGATATACAGATAGATAGAGAGATATTCGTGTAAATATGGGCATGAGTATTGACAGCCCTTGCCTTTGCAAGTAATCTGGTCCGATGCGGAGACTAGCACGACAAGGCGCGCGGGTGTCCTACCAAGAAAGGAATTACAGAGCACACGTGTATGGATGAGGGTTGTGCTGATACACTACATAGTAAGCACTACACAGTAATCTTACTTGAGTCATATATAGAACAGATTCCAGCATTTCCAAAATTTCCAAAATTTCCAAAATTCTCTCCCCTAACTTTCCGCATTTCCAAAATTTCCAAAATTTCCAAAATTTCCAAAATTTCCAAAATTTCCGAAATTTCCAAAATTTCCAAAATTTCCAAAATTTCCAAAATTTCCAAAATTTCCAAAATTTCCAAAATTTCCAAAATTTCCCGACCTAGTCGACAGGATTTTTCCAAAACATAAGGGCGGACTTTTTGGAAATTTTGGAAATTTTGAAATTTTGGAAATTTTGGAAATTTCGGAAATTTTGGAAATTTTGGAAATTTTGGAAATTTTGGAAATCCGGAAAGTTAGGGGAGAGAATTTTGGAAATTTTGGAAATTTTGGAATTGAGGCTTTGAAAGCTGAGTGCCCCCTCCCCCCGATCACAGACCATGCACTACGACTGAGTCGAAAGGGCATGGTCTGTCATGGGGGGGGGGGGGTGACCATATATATATATATATATATATATATGTGTGTGTGTGTGTGTGTGTGTGCGTGTATGTATGTATGCTTGTAAATACAGCGCACACACACATACATAAGTGTGTGTATATATATATGTATCTATAAAGACAGTATGCACACATCTTCCTATTGAATCTGCTACCAACATGCTGGTACTAGTAATTGCTGCTGCTTCGGAACCCGGAACCCTCAATACAAACACAAACGGAGTCACTCTCTGCTCGCGCCGCACGCTCTTCCTCGGTCTCGTTGGCAACCTGCGCCGTCCACTCTACTTTACATACTGTGCCGTACCAAACTATACTACAAGCTTCCAAGCTTCCGGGATAGCTATTACTTACCACGGGCTGCAAGCTTCCACAGCTCTTTGTTGGCTCGCTTGTAGATGCCGAAGCCCAAAACATTAAACCTCGATAACCTAAGCCCTGAAGCAGAAACGCCTAAAGCCCTAGACGCCTAAACCCTAAAGCCCTTAAACCCCTAAACCCTGAACCCCCCAAAACCCCTCACCTTGGCCAGCTCCCGGACGCTCCAGATTCTTCTGCTACGCTTGGCATCCTGCGCCTCACTGGGATCACTGGGATGGATCTCCTCAGGCGGAGGCAGGCACTCGCAACGAGGCAGAGGATTCAGGGTTCAGAGTTCCGGAATTTCTAAGGCCTTTATACGGTTTAGGAATCTTAGGGTTTCAACCTTAGGATTTTTGGGTTTCAGGTTTAGCATTTTTAGGGTTTATGGTTTAGGATTTTTGTGGTTTTTGAGGTTTAGGATCTAGGAGGCATCTGCGGGGTTGCGGGCCAGGCAGTATGGGCTTCTAGACGGATTTGTATGGCGGTGTCAGAGACAAGTTTTTACAGTAAAAGCCAGAAAGTTGGAACATGGCTTTAGGAGGATTAGTGCTAGGATCCCGTATACTTTACCTTAAGGGCATGAGGAGAATGATGTTCCAACTTTCTGGCTTCTACCATAGGCGTCGTGAAAGAAAAAGGGATCCTACAATTTAGTGCCTGGACTAGGTCGTTCGGGGCTCAAGCATCTGGCAGCTGGAGCGCCTATATGTGCATAAGGTAGAAGGCTGATTACTTACCTTGTTATTCCGCTCAGCTGCCGAATTATTGCGCTTCAGTATCAGAATGTCGTTTGAAGCAGGGGAACGACGGTTCGAGAACACGGGGGGAAGCACGCAGTTGGCGCTATGAGACTTCCCTGTGCGAACAGCAGCTACGTTGGACTTCCGCTGCGCGTCGCTTGCCTGCAAAAACTATCCCGACTCGCCGGCTTACAGACTGAGGGCTGACTGAGAAGTGAGCCTTCGCGACTTTTTAAGACCATCAACTTTTCAACGGTTTAGGGCTTAAAATGCGGATGTAGGAACCCTGCACCTTTATGGGGCCTGTTCTTCGGGGGGACTTTTCGCCTTCGCAATGAAGTATACCTCCGGCCTCAGGTAAAAGAACCCCCCAATGGCCCCTTCATGGAGCCTCTTAACAGTGGGTATTCGGGTTGTACTAGAGAGGGTAGTTGGAGGGTCTAAGGAGAAGAACCAAGTGCAAGCAAAGCTCATCGTAGAGGACCTTGAAGTCCAATTTTCCAGAAGGGTCCATCTCTGCGACTAGATCCTTGACACAAGGCGGTTTAGGGTTTAGGGCAAAGGTTGAAAGCTTCACGACTCTCAGAAGTTGCTTTTCTTGTCTTCAAGCGCCTACGCCTTGGGGCTCAAACAAAAAATCAAAAAACGCAAAAGGCCACGGATCTGTGTTTGGATGCAGGAGCATCAGGAGACCTTGGCAGCACATGGGAGCGAAACATAAGCACGTTGTTTGCTACGGCACATGCTCGAATCGGCAACCATGGCCGTGAGACAAGCTCTATGTGTGCGTACACACAAAAATGGAAAACATACAGTCTGTCTGTGTGCATATTCGTACACATGCACATACACGTGTTGTGAGGTTCTATACAGGTAGATAAACGTACTGCTGCGGTCCTGTTCTCTAACGGTGTCTGCACGACAGACACCTTCTGGGGACCAAGGGGTTTCGAAATTTACATTGTGAATTCGAATATTCTTCATCCCAAGAGAACCCTAAACCCTCAACCGTAAACCTCGGGAAGAGCGTGTCCAACGGCTTGAAGAGCCGTTGTCGAAAGCGGGCCTTAGGACACCTCGCAGGTTGAAGCCCTGAAGAGACAACAGAGGTCAGAGCTACGGGCTTGGGGCTTTGGGTTTCAAGCTTCGAGCTCAGGGTTTAGGATCTGTGGTTTGGGGAGCCATGCCCCTAGACCCTAAATCCTACACCACGTAAAGCCCTAAAACCCTAAACCCCTAAACGCCAAACACCTAAGCCCTAAAAACCCTAAAGCTCTAAATCACCTTCTAAATCCATCCGCCCCTAAATCCTACACCCCTAAACCTTTAATTTAGGGCTTAAAGCTCTAAAATCAACTTCTAGATCCATCCGCGCAGCAGTCGTTCATCTCCTGCTGAAAATGCTCCAGCGGCAGGTCGTTTGCATCTAAGCCGAAGGGGTTCTCCAGCTCCATAGAAATGAAATTCCTTCCAGAAGCTTACCATAAGGGTTTCGGGCCCAGGGTATGCTAAGGGCACAAGAAGGGTATCACAAGGTTGCTTTCAGGATTGCTGTAAGGGTCGCCATTCAGAGCCACCATAAGTGTCAAACTAAGAGTTGCTCCTATAAGGGATTTGGAAGGGTATATGAAGATGAAATTCCTTCGCAGGGCGGAAAGTTCAGAGCTGCAGGGTTGTAGGGCACGGTATGAGGGTTTCTGGTTTGAGGATGTTTAAGGCTTACAGGAACTATTAAGGGAGGAAGCTTAGGCAAAGGAGACGTTCGCTTAAGGCGCTGTTGGCCAAGGGCGGGTTGACCTCAGTACTACCTCCTCCAAACTCCCGGCTATGATGCTCAAAGTAAGAAGAAACAAAAGAAGGGACTCTACAGCCTACAGTGCCGTGCCCTAAGATCAAGGCACTTTATCAAACTCCTTGCCAGGTAAGTTGCGGAATCGGGGCTTACTTCAACAGTTGCATGAGTCTTGGCTGCCGGCACCTGAGCCCTCGCAGTTTTTACTCTGCTGCATTGTAGATATCATTTTAATATTCTCGACTGCTATCATCGCAGCAGAACGACAGGCTTACAGGTCAGGTATCAAGCACAGCAAACACAAAATGTTGCTTCCAGCTTTGCCAAGCATCAAGGAGAACATTCCGAAGACTGCCAGAAATGTGAACACTGGCGCTAGGAATCTGTGCGGGACGGAAGCAGAAATCAAGGCTGGAGTGAGGAATATGTGAACGAGCAGAAAGACTGCGATGATCTGCGCAAAGGGATACGGAAATTTGGTGTCCGTGATCTTTTTCCTTGGTCGTGCGGCTCAGAGCTCCAGCAGACACCACGAACCCCGGACTGGAAGTGCTCCGTAACTTCGGGTCACCATGTAGCCTGATAAAAAGCTGTATAGCCCTGAAGCTTAACAACAAAAAACCAAGTTTAGCAGACCAACCAAGAGGCGTGTTCAGCAGATTCACGAATCCTCGTGAGATTGTCTGGTAGACACGAGACAGAATTGGCGGTGGGATCTTCAAGACACCATCATCCAAGGCCTGCGGCCATGAGGGTTTATAGTAGAAGCCAGAAAGTTAGAACAGGACTTTAGGAGGATTAGTGCCAGGATCCCTTATTACCTTCAGGAGGATAATGATGCTCCAAGTTTCTGGCTTCTGCTCTGGGGTTTAGGAATCTCGGGTTGTGGGTTCAGGGCTGACGGTTCGGGGTTAATCCTGAACCCTACTGTCTGAACTTCAACACTCCGCAAAGTCTGGGACTAGGATTTGGGGTTTATTTACTTTGCCGATCTGCTAGCTACGATGCGTAATTACTTATGGTCTTCGAAGTTTGTGATATAAACAAGCTAACTATACTTGTTATTACTTATAACCCCAATTAGGGTACTTATTCATCTGTTGCCTTGATTGCACTCCGCCATGTCATCGGGTACTTTCGATTTCGAGCGCATTGTGTGCCCGGCTATGCAGATTTGTTCAGACTACAGATGCCGTTGCCAGTTACCTTATCCATAATATGAATAAGGTAACTGTAATAATGTATAACCTGGTTACTAAGTCCCATGATCCTTCACGTAGATGCTCTTACATGGCATGGAGGGGCCAGGTAAGCGTTAGCTCGAAGATGGTCGTGCACCGAACCTTGGTGATCAGCGTCTGCAGCAGGTGCAGGCACACCTCCACGCGATTGAACCTCACATGGACTTGAATATCTGGGCGCCTACTCGCCTTCTGATTGCCCGCTGTCAAAAAACTAGGTGCACTGTCGCTCTTTCAGATGACATGATGTGGTCGAGATTGACACTCCGGTGCTCGTCACTGCTACTGTTGTTGCTAGCCTTGTTGTGGGTGCTGCTGCTCGTCAAACGTGCTTCTTAGGGAATCAAGCATCTACTTCGTGCAGCGGGCTTTGCAAGAGTTACCTTGATGTTCAGGACCACTAGAATCAGCGTAATGTCCCCCTCTGCAGTCTTGCCATTTTCTTGGTTTTGCTGACACTGGTACCGTTGTGTGGTGACTGATGTTGTCTTGTTCTTGCTGCTAGTTCACGATTTCGCGGAACTCATGTGAGCCTACTACCACCAGCCCTGTTGACTGCTAGCAGCAGAACTTCTAGCACCACCACTACTACTCGTAGAACTACTTCTACTTTTGTCTCTACTTCTACCCCTACTCCTACTCGCTTCTGGCACTATAAACAATAGAAGACATCCCCTACCCTTACTCCTAGTCCTACTCCTCTAGTTACTGCTACTCCTATTGCGACTGCTATTCCTATTGCTACTGCTACTCCTACTGCTGCTGCTACAGCTACTGCTGCTACAGCTGCTGCTGCTGCTGCTACTGGTGCCACTGGTACTGCTAGTGCTGCTGCTACTGCTGCTACTACTACTACAGTAATACAACCACTACGACGACGACTAGTACTACTCCTCCTATGTTTGCTCTTGCTCCTGCTCATGGTTTTTCCTGTTCCGCTCCCGCAACACCTTCCAACCGCCAGCTGCTCTCGGCCAAGCGACTTGTGGACTTCGCTGCACTCCCAAAGGTGATTCAAAGTCTGACTATCCAGCCCCATGACGTCGATGACCGCTAGCTCTACCACATCGCCCGAGATTTCCTGGCACATACTCCGCATCCATTGAAGCGGCTGGGTGTGCAAAGGCGAGAGTTTAGGGCTGATAGCTTGAAGCTGCCACGAGTGGTGAAAATTCTGCCACAGATCTCCGCATGGAATTTCAGTACAAAACCCCATGTGGAAAATTCCTACCCCTAAACCCTTTGCCCTAAACCCCTAAACTCTAAACCCGACAGTGAACAGAGGCTCGGCTTGGTGAGGCGAGGCCCCTCAGCTCCCAAGGCTCGAAGCAAGCTCTGACAATCCCGAAGCAGCTAGCGGCTCCCTGAAACTTCATCCATCCCCTTGCAGCACTTCAGGGAAGTGTCGACCAGCTGTATGATCCTTAGGCATGATCTCGAATCATTCTGGGCAGCAATATTAAAAGTAACTAACAGAAGAAGAGTCGGGTCCTCCAGGGCACTTCCGTGGCAAAGGCTCATGAGCCTTGCCGGAAGCGCCAAGTCTGTGTTTGATTTCGGGCTCTGACAGCCTAGAAACCTGTTGACCGTAGGGCAGGCTATCCTAGAACGGGGTATGTCCGATATGTCTTCCTAGAACCGATTCGATTCTTAGATTTCTTGCTTGTCATGAGATCAGGAGCAGCAGTCAGAAACATTGATACATCTACCAGTACAGATGGCTACTGTCGTAGGGTTCTAGAGCTGAAGCCCTTTGAAACCCTAAACTGGTTGGCTCTTTGATGGCTCGGACCCGCGGCTCGGACCGCCTAGGGACACAGAAGACTGCAGCTGTGCTGGATGTGGACGGAAGAATAGTACTAACAAGAACAATCCTCCTGCTCCTACCACCACCCCCACCACTGCTGCTACTGCCACTAATAATTTTGATGACACATCAAGACTAATAATTGCAGAGCAAACTGCTAAACGAAAATCGACAGCATCGTACTTGCAGCGGCTCTCCGACAAAGTCAGTGGCGACATCTTCGTGCAGGTGGAAAAATGTTGCCGACTCCCTCATTGGAACCGAAAAGCTGCTGTCTCAGCAATGCGGTTCTTCTATATCATTGTACGTTACTAAAATATACGGCACGACGATATACTATACCATACTACAATACGATCTAGTAAAATATATCAAGATATAAAATGATATAATTCGTAATAAAATAATGAAACATAGGACCCTGCTTATCGGCCTATCAGAATCCCTACAAACTGCCGTCCAAAAAAAACTCCCGGATAAACTCTCAACGCACGGGCCTGACGAGGGTGTGTCTGAACTTTCGGACTTGCTCCGGCTTGCTCGGGCGAGCGCTGATGGAGAAGGTGATCTCAGCATGTGCGCATCAAAGATGTCGGTATAATAAGGATCCTACAATTGGGGTACCAGATTAGGGTCCCCTATTTTCCCAAATGAGCTTTGAGGCCAAGCGGCCTACCCATCTGCGCAAAGCGACCTAAACCTCTAACTTCCTTAGGCTGGACAGGTTGATAATGTGAGGAATGCCTGTGCATACACAGCAGGCAGCACAAACCAAGCACAGCCCGTGAACGGCCTGAATGTCTGTCTGTTCCACCTGGAAACGACCAACACTCATAAGCAATATCTGTTGGTACTATTATAAACTCTTTAAATGACTTTCTTGATATCATGTTTATGATGGTGATAACTATTACTACGGCTGCTTTAGAAACGATTACTAATATTATGATTCTGATTCCTAGTCTGCCCTGTTGTTTTATGCAAGCTTTCTTTCTCATCTTAACCGTCACTGTCCCTGCAAAGCCTGGAACTCCACCGCTCCTTCAAAGAGTCTTGGACAGCTCCAAACCCACCCTAAACGAGGGCCTGTACTATAGAGTCCTGAATAAGACGCCCCTAGGCAATTATTTAGGCCCCTAGATTACAAAAGGGCTCCCTTCAATCCTTATGAGAAATCGAAAAAAACCTTGTCTCATCCTCGATCCGAAAACTGCCGTAGTGCCAGTCTGGAGGCACAGTTGCTGACTGTGTCGAACCATTCCTCAGGAAAACGTCCGCCGTCAATGCTGCCATATGACGATGCTCGAACCCCATGTTCCTGCTCGTAATGATTAGAAGTAGCTTGGCTTCGACGGTAAACTTCAATCGTGAGAATGGTTTACTAGTCCTAACACCAATGGGTACCTACAGGATTGCTCGTGTACCGACGATCTCTTAACCCCAAACCCTTGACGGTCTGAAGGAAAGATCGCTTGCAGTTCCAGTCGCTCCCCGCATTTGATGCAGCAGGCCGGTTCCCTCCCAGAAGCGCGCGAGACCCTGGCAAAAGGCAGAATTGGCTAAGGCCCGACTCAATGCAAATTACATGTCATCGACAAGCCTGGCGCTTACACGGCAAGATCGGTGGAGGAAAAAGGAAAGCGGGCCTACCATACTACAGACTGACTACTTCGGGTATTGCACCGTTAGCTGCCCTCTGTCTTCGCTTTGGAGGTTCTTGCAGCTTCTGAGCAAGTTTAAGATTTGGGCTAACGATTTGCTGAGTCTGCAGGAGCAGGGCTCCAGGAATCTGAAGATCATAAGGACCCTTAGGGGGGTAGGGGGGAGAGGGGCAGGGGGCCTTAATGCTCATAGTAAAGACTTAATAAGGGTTATAGTCCCCTAACCCCCTCCCCCTTACCCCGCTAAGGGTCCCTATGAGAAGGGACTCTCTCATCTCAACCACTCTGACCTAAAATCAAGATCACAGCACATAGTTGTCGGAGCTCTCAGATTCAGTGCTCAAGTGACTCCCGGCCCGGAACCCAAGACATCCTCCATGCACCAAAAGCTCAAGAAAGGTGGTGGTAGGATACGTAGTATTGCGGGAAGTACGTTTCAATTGAGGCTGTCCTACCTAAACGAAACCCTTCCGTTTGTCTTAAGCTTCTGCCTGGCCTGGCGCGCTCGGAAGCCTAGAAGGAAAACCAGGATCACGGTCGATGCATTCCATATCTGACCTGTTTGGGGTTTAGGGCGACCTGCACCCCTGGACGCGAAAAAATAGTAGTAATAGTCAGTAATAGGAACAGTAATAGCAACAGTAGTAGTAGAAGAAGTAGTAGTAGTTTAACGCTATTAATAATTAGTAGTACTGATAACATGGATTCCTACGGAAAGGGCAGTTTAGGCTAGTGGGGCTCATGCTGTAGGACTTTTACTGTGAAGGGTTCAGGGTTTTGTTGGCGGCATTCAGGCTTTGCGGGGTACGGCTTAATGGATTAGGTCTACGGCTGTAGGGCTTCGGGGGGGAGATGTTTGCAGAGAGGGTTTGGGATGGACGGCTTTCGTTTTCACGGGCTCGACAAATAGTTATGCTTCACCACACAATGGAGATTCGTCACTGAAGCTTCGAATGCATACCCCGCATGCAGAACGGAAAACCTTTTCCAGAAGAAGGGAGAACACAGTCAGTCTCCGAGGACAAAACCGTGAAACCCAGATATTTCCAAGGCATCAACCAGCAGGCAACGATCACCCTGCAAGTTACAACAACCTTATACCTGCCCTTAAACCCCACCAAACCCCAAGCCCTAAAGCCTAAAGCCCTAAAGCCCATAAATAAACCCTAAACCCTAAAGGGTCAGCAGGACATGACAAGTGCAGCCAAAGCTGCTACTGTTCAGCAGATGCAGACCCAGATCTTCACGATACTCTGGGGCCTTGGCGAAACAACAGCCAGAGCTTAGGCTCTACTTTAGGGTTTAGGGTCTATAGGGCCTTAACACCCGAAAACCCTACGGTTTTGAGGACTGAGGAACCCAACGGTAGGTTTCTTAGGGTCCAAATAGGGTTTAGGGGTTTTGGGTTTACGGGCTGAGCCTCGTCCCAACGAGCCTCGAGCCACGTGCAGACAAGTGGCAACGTCATCCATATACAGCATAAAAAGAGCTAACCTCAGCAAGATGCGGTTGATGATATAAATCCTGCATTACCTTAACGACCCTAGTCTATGGGAATTATGGGGTATTGCTCATTATGGGCAATGCAGGATTATATCATCAACAGTAGGTCTCAGGTGAAAGAACCCAGCCGAAAAGTGTCGGAAGGTGAGCAACGACTTGCAGCTGTGACTACCTGCCTCTAGCTCTCCAGCGTTTCCAAGGGCTGACAATTTCGTCCAACTGAGTCTAACTAGCTCTAGGAAACCAGGGAAGTAGCTCTTTTTCTAAGAATAGTTCTGGGAAAGGAAGTTAGGACGGAAGGGAGCCAAACGCAATCCGACGGGCGTGCAACCTCCCCCCACGGCATCGGCAGAAGACACGGCAAGTCTTGTGAGTCTCTTCAACTTGATTCGGGATGATCGGCACAAGATCAGGAAGGACAGGCTACCGAATGGAGAACGTTGCCGAGATTCACATGATACAGCGTGACCACAGTCCTACAGACACTGTTGCTGCCGAAGCAACATCCGAAAAATCCTCGCTAAAGCCTGATCCTAGGAGCCCAGCCCCGGACCTTAAACCCAGAAACCTCAACCCCACTACTTCGTTCATGCCCCAAGCTTTCCGGAGTGGACCGATTCTGAAATGACTGTTATCATCCTCGTTGTTATTCTTTGTTATGATTACCATACGTATTCTTACTATCCTCATTATCGTTAAACGATGATTATGATTGCCATCAGCAGTATACTTATATTGTATTAAATTATACGCTATTGTCTTGTGCTATGTTGCATTAGTTAAAAATATTAATTATTGTCGCTATTGTGATTCTTTTTCGGTGTCTGAAAGCAGTGTTTATCGCCGTAGTCCACGCGAGCCCAGTCGTTGATTGCTGAGGGTCGGCCATCTTTGAGTTGGGAAGTATGTAGCTGCACTACCGGGCTACCATACATCCTCGGTCAAGGCAGATAAGAAAGTAATCATCGCTGGTACGGCCAGACCTTGATTGCCTCTTGATTGCTACAAAGCGTTTCTTCTGATATGGAGCATCCGTTCTGTCAAGCCGTCTCTGGAATTCAATCGTTTACTGCCCTATTTGCTGCGATGTTTGCCAGATTGCTGTCAATACGTGCTGCTTCAGGTAAGACTAAGAGTACTGCCCGCTCTCGGGTTTTTTTCTGGAATGTGATTCTGGTCCGGATGATGAGGCCTATGCCTATGGCTGCTCCTTGTACTCCCAGAGTTGGTACGTTGGCAAATTGTGCTTCTGTGTCATACTAGATTGTGGCTCATGATTTCGATTCAGCTCATCTACACTAAGTAATATTAAATGCTCTGATTATTCCAGTGTGTCAGGACTGCGTGCTTTCACAACTTAGTGCTTGCACTTCTGTTGTCCTGGCTACAAGTAGCAAAACTGCTGTCCTTCCTGTATTGGTACGCGTGTGTTGTTGCTCTTGCCACGGAACAAATCCCGAAACCCTTAAGGGAGCCCTGGCACAGCGCAGCTGGCCCGGCAAAGAAGGAGGACCGCACGGCCACCGACCCCTCCAGTCTGCACACGGCCTCGTTTCGGTGAGCACGTTAGAACTAAAAAGGTTTTTGGTATAGGGTTTCGGGTCTCCTGGAGTGGGCAATCAGGAAACTAAACCCTCTATATCTTAAACTTTAAGCCGCAAACTCTCTCCACGCGGCAATCTGGAAACTACAACCCTGTGTATCCTAAACCCTAGACCCCCAAACCCTCCTACTTGAAACCCCTTCAGACTCCACACCAATTCGTTTGGAAGCACGAATACTCGGCTTTCACCCTTGGGGGCCCTACCGCCTGTGGACACCTCGCCTTAATGGTTAGATTAGGGTTTTGGGCTCCAGAATGCTTCCAGCATATTAGGGGCTGTAAAAGGATATAATATGGGTTATATAGTAAATATAGTAGATTGCACCGAAAACCAAGAAATAGTGCAGGGCCTCTAAGTTCGAGCATTCGTTCCCCACTGAACCAGAGGCGACTTCACTCCAAGCGCATGCTCCTTGCCTTGAACAGCCAGTCCTCATTGTAGTCAATCATCCTGAGCTGAGAACATGCGGGGGCCTTAACAATTAGTTAGAACAGGGTTCCGTCAAAGGGGTCGCTAAGGGTTACTAGAAGGGATCTATAAGGGTACTATGATATGGGGGCCTCAATACTTAGAATTAGGTCTCGACGGATAGTATAGTAAGTGCAAAAAGGAACTCCCGGGCACAATATTTATACAGTACAGAGTATTGCAGTGATGTTAAAGAAAGCAGATGCAGCAAATCTTTCGCTGCAATAATTGCAATTTCTGCCAACTTCATAAGGACCCTTAAGGGGGGTCGGCGGGAGGGGGTCGGGGGGCCTTAATACCTAAAACATGGATGTAAGAAGGCAGATTTAGTCCCCTACCCCCCTTCCCCTTACCACCCTAAGGTTCCTTATGAAACATTCAAGCCACTCATCCATCCTGGCTCCCCGTTGGGGATCCACTCTCCGAAGCTTTCGCAAAACAAGTTGCCCGTGGCAGAAAATGCACACGGGTTTCGGGTTTAGGGTTCGGGGTTTAGGATTCAGGGTGTAAGGCTCCGTAGACGCCCGTTGCAGCCGAGGTTCCCCCTGTCTTCAGCCTCGTTGCCGAAGCACAGGGGGCCAGATTGAGGGCAAAACAGCTGCAGGAAAAGAAGTGGCCTTCACAGACTCCCTGCGTTATGACTGCGATATCCGGCTCACCCTTACCGGAACATGGGAGTTCAAACCTGGGCCGTGTTAGAGAAGCAGTTTTTGTGATTTCGTACGATCTCGGGAAGATCAGGGAAGATCCCACACACCCGCTTGCAAGGGATCTGAGAGATTTGTCAAGACTTGACATGCTTGATTGTATGATTCTCTACGTAATCCGAAATCCTAAACCTTACCCCTTGCTTCCACCACCTCTAAGGAGTCATGTAGAATCATGCCCCAAGCATCAGCCTGATATAGGGGAATGAAGCAATACCATAAAAACTATTGTGGTGTTCCTTGGTATAATTATAGTATAGTGGGCCCCGAAACCCTATTCTAAGTATTGTTAAAAAGGCCCCCCCAGATTATAGTACTCTTATGGATCCCTTTTAGTAGCCCTTATGGACCCCTTTGAAGGAACCCCTCTCTAATTATTAAAGGCAACCCTACATTTAGCGAGTGTTGGGCCCCGATAGTACACCCTGAATCTGAACCCTTGCCCCAGGCGGTGCAGGCAGCCTCGTGCCGGTGTTGCTCAAGTCGGCTGAGGAGTTGTGAGAGAAGGTAGGCCGGCACCTGGGAATCCCGCTTGAGAAGTTCTGGAGGGAGGGTTTTGGACTTTGCGAGGGCCTTGTAAAGCTTTGGCAGGGTTCGTCTGAGGGGTCAGTATGAGGGATTTCATTTATCACCGTTCTGTAAATAGGTTTCATGCAGGTTCCATGAACGTGGCTAAACAGCATGCTGCCCGACTACAGGCGAAATGCGCGAAAGGGGTGCTGGTACTAACATCATTCTCGATTATAGTCCCTGCATATATAGTCTTCTCGTATAACATACTCAAACACACCCTGCTCCAGCCAGGAATGTGGCCACTATCAGAGCCACCACTTCTGGTGGCCTGCCGCCTACAGGTCCTACTGGCCGTCGTGTGAAGAACAAAGGCGAAGCTCCAGCTACCAGTATGTTTGATCGTCGCGACGTCTCTTCCTCGCGATGGGGGCGATGATAGCTGCGACTTTCGCGGCTGTAACATCGAGTCAAAGCGTGCCTTCGCAAGCTTTTAGCCCAACTATCTCGCCTCTTCGGCAGAGAGACTTCGACGTGGCTCTCACGTCGTCCCGCGCAAAGCATAATCAAACACTGGGCTGCATCGGAGATCAATCCGACAGCCACCGTCCTGGAGGAGCAAGAGAGCTGTTGTGCACCTTACGCCTTGAAGACGAGCGCAGGAACGGCTGTACCTGCTCAAACTTTCCAAGACATACCACTGCCATCCTACGGGATTCGTTCCTGGTGGACAGGAAACGCTTCAGCAAAGCCTCAGGCAGCAAAACTCCGAATTTGCAACGGCCGATGTCCGGAACGCAAACTTCGGAGTGTCTGCTCACAGCTTCTGTAACCGGGTCGGGTTTCTTAGCACCCAGTTGAAAGCCACGGAAGTGAAAGATACATCAGATATCCAACAGAAGCTGCAGGCTTTGTACAGCACAATGTGTCACTTGTCAGGGACGTTAGCATGAAGGCTGGTGAATGCCACCTCAAGGGTTTAACAATGTTCAGGTCGCTTCAGCATGAAAGGTGCCCCGTGCAAGCTCTTGTGCTGTTCGTCCTTGTTCGCTGTCGCCGTTGCCAGAGTGACTAATATAGGGGCCTTACTAATTCTAATAGGGTTTGGGGCCCATGATACTACAATAAATATAAAACGGAATCACCAAAACAGTATTGGTGATTGATGGTGATTATTTCTGCCCCTCTAGTAACCGGCTGCCCCTGATGCTCTCCAGGTCCCACTGGGACGAGAAAGTGCATCTGGCACGGTTCAGCAGAAGGCTGTGATTTCTTAAATACGAGGAAAAAACCTCGTAGCTAAACTCAGGACATAAATGGAAAGGGAAGCTTGCTGCGTGGCTCCTGGCGACACGATGTCAGACAGAAGCTGCGCCTGTAGTCTCAAGCTGACGGAGAACGAAGCTCGGCTATCTTTGAATGTGCCGTTTCAGGATGAATTTCCTGGAGAGAGAACTACGTCTGCTTACAGCGGAGAGGGGCAGCACACGTCTAACAATGCCGTGAGAGGCCATGCAAAAGAGGAGGGGCAGATGCACCGCCGCTACCTCCGAATTCGATGCATTACGGCTTCGCCAACCAGCTTTACCGGATAGAGGTTAGAAGGTTGGCTACATATGACAACCCATGAACTCAACACATAAGCAAGCACTGTCCAAGTGCTCGAGCAATTCATCCCCTCTAGACGCTAGACCAGTCACTTGTCAGTCCAACCAAACCGCTAATTTCTTCTGAAGAGTAGCGATCTGCTTAGTCTTGCCTGTATGGAAAGGGCAAGGAGCCTTGTGCGCCGAAAGCTGGAAAGGAGCAGGAAAGGATCAGAGTAGCATCTGGAAACAGTGCTCGGGGAATCTCCGGCAGATGTAGCTTGCAGATGCTCATCATGCTCATCTCGGACTTGATGCAAAAATGGTGCATAGGCTAGACACAGGCCAGGCGGCACTAACGACCCCCATGGCCCTGTGAAACTGTCGAGTTTGCAAGTTTTAGCATTGGTAGTAGTGGTAATACTAGTATTAGCATTAATATTAGTATCCGTATCGGCATTAGCAAGTACTAGTACTTCGAGGGGAGGGCGCAGGCGACCCCTGCTGGAGGAAGCTTCGGTTCCCAAGATATGCAATGCTCTCGTCGGGGAGATCATCAAAGATCTTGCAATCCAACATGGAGGAGAGTTCTTCTGAACCCGTGCCTGTCAGACTGTCCAGATCTTTCGGAGTCCTCTCCATGCGCTCCTCTTGCCTCGGGCCATCTAGGAAAAGCTGCGGTGGCTACAACCCTGTGATGTCTAATTATAGTCGACAGGTTTGAGACGGTTTGGGCAGTTTGGTATCTTAGCAGAAGGAGAACTTAGCGACAAAACGAAAGCTGAAGGATGGAGTTGCGAGCTCCACCACAAGGCAGGTCCGTGACACCTCGCGCGTGCATGCCGCAACTTGTCTCGACCCGCCATCAGCCCCGACAGAGATGTGGTCTTCGTAACTTCATCGTCCGACTGGTCCTCTGTCGGTGGCAGTACATTGATGGTCCATGAGCAGTCTGAGGTGGTGTGGGCCCTGGCCCTGGCCTGCACTTTTGGGCACTCACTGTCCAGCTCCGATTCCTGAGTTCAACACCAACCTCAAGCCTCACACAAAGCGAATTCTGAACCGGCTGTCCGAATGCGTCCATGTAATACTGGTATTACTATTAGTACTATTAGTACTATTAGTACTATTAGTACTATTAGTACTATTATTACTAGGTGCCAATAGCAGGTCTCGATGACTAGCTTGGATTCGAGGCTGAGTGACCCTTTTCTCATCTAAAAGCTGCTGCTTTAGAGCAAGCTATGGTGGCATTGTAAGGGCCCTAATACTTGGAGCAGTGTTGTGGGGTATATATTGACAGTTACTGTACTTGCATACAGGGACTGTCAGGGTAGAACATTAACTGTGAATGCTAATTATTCAGACCCTCGTACTCCTTGCCTCTCTGCTGCTTACCTCGCAACATCACACTCTTCGCCGGGCCAAGTCAAGCTTTCACCAGTTCGAACTATTTTTCGTGGGGTTGTTGCGGGCCCGTCGCCGCTCACAGGACTGAGTGCACATTCCCAGTGCCTGAAAGATGGCTTCAGCCCATGCACAGAATACATCACTGTGAGAGAACATCCATGTAACTCATGTCACAACCCGCCCTTGAATTCTTCTGCCGCATGCTGCCCAGAATCAGAGTCTGGAACGGTGGTTGACGCTACGCTCCTGACACCATCCTCGGATGCGCACTCAGACCCGCCTGAGAAGCGTCGACTCCGTCCCGGTGCCGGTGGGTACCGACGTGAGACGGCTGGCTTCACGGGCACTGGGGCCATGGCGCAACAGTGGGACCGTGGGTACCGAGCCACACAATCTTTTTCAGACTTCTCTGTTCCTCTTGAGCATAAACGCTGCATCAAATCCAACGGCAGATGTGCTATTGCGTGGCTGTGCAAACATTACATGTACTGCCTCAACAGGCCGGGGACGGCACATATCTCAGCAAGTCCGCGGCGAGCTTGCTGGTGGTTGCAGGCATCATCTGCTTCCAAAAGGCCAGGCATAGCACTCGTGCCAACGCTGGAAGAGGCAACCAGCGAAGGATGCTGTCAGCCGTCGAGACTTTCTCAGCGTCGTCGACCACATGCAGTCTGCGCCGCCAGCTTTCCAGCTTTTCCTGAAGCAGTGCGTCTGCAGAGGAAGTCACTTCCTTCTCCTCGTAGGTGTCCCAGAGATCTGTGAGCTCCACTCCTCCTCGGGCTACCAGGGGCCCAAGCCACCGGAAGAGAGCCGTAGAGCAGAGCCCAGAAGGGCTTCTGCCAGGCTCTTGTCGACTTTCGTCCAGGAGGGGCTCTTCCATACCGAGAGCCGATAGCCATGACCGGAAAGATCGTGGAGCAAGACGGCGTCAACGAAATCATCGAATATCATGTCTCCTGTGTTGACTGCGCAATGCTCCGGACCTTTTTTGCAGAGATAGGCTGCAAGATCGTTTACACTGTTTACACTGAATGCTCCGACGGTGGGCGGGGGCTGGCTTGGAGGTACTCCCTACCAATGCTTCTACAGTTCTACTACAGAGGCCTAACCCCCAAAATTGTATGGGTAATTATTATTTAGGCCCCCTATATTGGATACCCGGGTGCCTGGATAGATGGCTCATGTCTGATGCACAGAATTTCCAGCTTTGGGCTTGAGGGCGGCGGACATCAGAAGCCATTCTGAAGCTGCCCAGCATAAGCCGAATGTTGATATGCTACAGCTTTTGTCATGTGTGTGATTAGCTCAAGAGAAGATGCTGTAGGTGAAGGGATGCATGCATGCGTGCATGGATGGATGGATGGATGGATGGATGGATGGATGCTACAAAAACAGACAATCTGGCCGCACGTGAGTCCACCGGCAGCGACAATCTTTTACATGCCAAGCACCGCTCCCCCTGGGCAAAGAAAGCGGCGTGTTGCCGCAATGGGTCGCCCTCTAATCCGGAGCATGACTGGGCTCTTGTTAAGGAGAACATCTTGTTTAAGATTTGTATGAGTGTATATATGTATATATGCGTATATACATATCACAATACGCCCCTTTCTGTTTCGATAAGTTACACTAAGTTCCTTAACAAGAAGGGGCACGAATTAATGAGGCGCAGCGAGTATATGATACATGGGTGAAGCTACCGCTTCAGCGTCCACGACAGCCGAAGGCGGTCATCGCAGTTGCAAGGGCACGGCCGTCAGCCTCCGGCATTTTGGGCACGCAAGGGTTGGAGTGTGTAGGCTTCAAGGTAGCTACTTCAAGGGTCGCCATGCTGCAGGGACTGAGGTAAGAAAAAATGACCTGGACAGGGGCAGACTCACGGCACAGCGACATACATCTTACGAACGGTGTGGAATAGGGTCTTCCCATACTCACCAAAAACCGCCCGGCGTTGTTTTGAATCAGCATGCAGACTACAGGCCCAGGATCATCTGGCCTCGTTGACCGGGAAGCTGTGGGACCATTTCTTCCCTGCCCGCACCGGCTTCATGGAGCTGACCCTACTTGAAGGATCATGGGACCTATAGTAGCTAGGGTTATAAATAAGGCAACCTATACTTACAAACACTTATAACCCCAATTAGGGTACCTATAACCTTACTTACTAGGCCCCCTGATCCTCCAAGTATGTTATGTTATACTGTACATTTCGCTTAATACATTACATCGTTCGGTAATCGCAAGAACTTGTAAGTTTGTTGCATAAAAGTCAAGTCTACCCGAGTCCGGTACATTACAGTATCCTGCGGAACATTACACCCTTTTCTGTTGTAGTATATTATACCAGATCCTCCTATACCAGAATAGTTACAGTAGAAGGTGTTGAAGATTATGAGTTAGTATCACGTTGTAGTATAGTACCGCATCGCATAGTATCGTATAGATTATATACTGTCGTATAGTGTATAGTACAATGCCGTCCAGCATGGTGCTGTACAGTACAGCATACAACGGTATACTATTGCATGGTATGGTTTAGCGTGCTATAGTGTAGCATAGCAGCACATAGTTTAGATTAGTGTGACAGAATCTGTCACGTTTTCTTATCCCATGACCCTTAAGCAATCATAGCAAGCGTATGCGACGGTGCCTATGAAGCACGTGGGTCTACCTCTGCTTCTCACCGGGCCTGTGCGGGCTTGATACCACAAGGCCCAACGGGCTCTCAACGTCCTGCGGGGCATGCAAGACTGTGCAGCTGAGACGAACTGACTGACTGGCTAACGGACTAACTTGCTAACTGACTCACTACCTGACTATCGAACTAGCTAGCTAGCGAGCGGACGGGCATGCGGACCGACCAACCCAACCAGCCAGCCAGTCAGACAACTAACCAAGCAACCAACGCACATGCATGCATAGATACGTACGCACACACGCATATGGGCATATGCCTACACAGGTATGTGGTTGTGAGTATCTACAAATGAAAGGATAAAACATAAACATATCAGCAAAAAACATAGACAACATATGTGTGTATACGTCATATATATATATATATATATATATATGAGTATTTATATATATATATATATGTATAAACATCGCCTCATTATCATTGTTTTAGTGCAAAGTCTTCAACGAACAAATTCATCATCATGAGGATAATTGAGATCAAGCGTTTTGGGGTCGTATTGAGTCCTGATTTGAAGCACAAGAACCTGAACCGAGAACGCTTAAAACCTAAACGCAAAAACTTGCAGACCCATAAACCCTACCTCCATGCCCGCCACCAACACCGATTTACACATGACAGTGCTCTTATTGTCGTTGGGATCATTATTCGTATTGTGGCCGGCTGATTGTTGCCCTGGTTCGACGGTTTTAGAGTTTCCGACTTATAAGCTGTTGATTTCGTAAGGCATTTTGGGTGGTATATCTAGCCGTCGCATGCAGTGTAGAGTTTGAACAAAGTGTTGCGAGTACATAGGTGGTGTAGGGTTGTAGTCTTTCCGGGTTTTTCAGTGTGTTATTGCACCAGTCGAACCATGCAAACCGTAGTGAGACTCCTACAATAACACGCTGTACGTCCTGACTCGACTTTACATTGCTCCATAAGTGAGAGATAATTACCCCTGAAGCCCTGTTCAAGCCCTGCTACGCACCGGAGACTGTTCGAAATGCATCTGCAGAAGAGCTCGCACCACTCCGGCCAGAAATGGGAAACAGACTAGCTATCAGACTAAAACGGGGGCCTAGATACTTAGAAGAGGGTCTTGGGACACATTGCACCGTACTTTGTTCATCGGAACCTACACGTAGAGTATTAGCAAGTACCTAGGCCCTACACCACAAACGCTAAACCCCAAGCCCTTCTACATTAGTTGGGGGAAGCAGAGAGCCGTCTCCTACAACGGTAATGCAGGATTTACATCATCAACCTTAGCACAGAGCTGTCTCCTCATCGTTGCGCGATTTTCTGGGCGTCCCCTGGACGTCCTGAGCCGGACGAAGGCACTTCGAAACGTCGGGCTCATGCTTTGGGATCGACTCTGACAGGCTTGTATTGGTATTTGGGTGTAGGGTTTAGGAATATATAGGGTTTCTTTCTTTGGGATTTGGGTGTAGGGCTTAGGAATTATATAGGGTTTCTTTCTTTGGGGTTTGGGTGTGGGGTTTAGGAATTATATATATATAGGTTTTCTTTTTTAGGGGTTTAGGGTGTAGGGTCTAGGAAATATATAGGGTTTCTTTTTTAGGGGTTTAGGGTGTAGGGTCTAGAATTATATAGGGTTTCTTGTTAGGAGTTTAGGGTGTAGGGTTTAGGAATTATATAGGGTTTCTTTTCTAGGGTTTGCGGTGTAGGGTTTAGGAATTAAGGCTTCTTTGAAAGGGTTGTGTGGTGGGTGACAGCTTTACTTGGGGCTCTCATGGAAAGGGCACTGCGGCATAGCCGTGACAGTATTTCAAATCTCTGGGAGGCAATATATATCTAAATTGCGGGTCCCACCGTCTCAAAGTTTCTAAACCATCACATGCATGTCGTTGTCTCCGATGGTCGGTCAGCAGCCACTTCGTCTGAGGCCGTTGCTGGATTCGAGGGAACCGGAAGGCCCGGAAGAAGTAGGCTGGGCGGCACCTGTGCGAAACAACCCTAGGAAGACAGAGCCGTTGAACCTGATCTGTAAGTGTCGTGCTGGCGCATGAAACTAGATCCGAAACTCTTTTGACTGCCACGTGAAGCAGCAGGAATTCTTCGAGTTTGTGCCATGACAGATGTAGGCTATGCCCTAGAGAACAACACAGTCGCACGGGAAGACGACGGTGCATACACTAAGACTGCTCGCAGTACGGTCACTGAACGACTGCCAGCCCCTCGGCGATGATTCAAGGAATAGCGCCGGATCGAGCCATCCCGTCTGAACCTCTGAGCCATGAAGCCTCAGTGACTTGCAAACCGCGCTGAAACCCTACGGGTCCAAAGGACCCAATAATTAGGTACTCGGTTTTACGATAGTAGTTATGTAGGTGAGGATTTTGGAGAGTATATCACTACTAAGTGCTTGGGCCCTTGGGGAAAAGCTGACTTCGGCTTAAGGAGCGGTGAAATCGGAGCATGCGGCCTTGTCTTCCGGCTCTTCGCGGACTTCCTGCCACCCATAGTCCGGCCTCCAAAGCCAGAACCCTGAACCCCAAGCCCGTGTACTTGTGTGTGCATTCGTGTGATGCACGTGCGTTTGTGTTTATGCATGTCTGTATATATATATATATATATATATATGTATATATACATATATATATATATATATATATATATAGAGAGAGAGAGAGAGAGAGAGCTGGATAGACAGAGAGAGAGAGAGCTCGTAGCTATAAGTGTATATATCTATATATATATATATATGTACACATGAACACGTAATCATGCATGCACACATATGCGTGTACATCAGCAGGTATGTATGTAAATGTGCGTGCGCATGTGTGTAGGTATGTCGTATGTGTGTGTGTGTGGATGTGGGTGAATGTGCGGTGTATACTGTATGTCTGTCTGTATGAATGTATATATGTATGTGTGTATGTATGATTAATGTGTATATGTACCTAAGCATGCATGTTGCATTAACATATTTCGGCTGAACCAGAGCAGCTTTCAACTCTATGTTGTGTGCACATACGCACACTTACATGACAAGTTCAAAATTATGACTGGTTGACAACTTGCCCTGTTTCAGATCCTCCTTAAGAGTCGGCGACTCCTCTGTCAGTGCACCAAGCTAAAAAGGCCAGGCCCCCTCCTTAAGCTCATTCCTGCAACGGCCTGGGTGGAGAAGGCGGATCGCCCACGTCTGCCTCTTCTCGGATTAGAAGGCTTTCAACAAAGCTCTGAGAGCGTGTCCTGTGAAAGGTGCGCATGGTTTTTTGTGTGGACTGTACAAAAGTAGAAATGCCTGAAAATTCAGGATCATCCTTCCCCAGGATTCCGTATTCAGTTTCTCACAGTACAAAAGCCACCCCAGTTGAAAGTTCGCGGCGTGCTACAGCTTAACAGTTTCGTATGCCTGGCATCTCATGGTACTCTATTGCTCTATAGTACACCTCCCTAACTTGTATGCTGCTTGGGGAGCATGTTACCTGTGACCCTGCATCTGAATCGATTGAGGGTCGCGTTGGAGCCAGACTTCTGAGCAGAAGACCGTGCCAGATATCTTGGTACAATGTACAACACTAATAATAAGAACGACACTTTAATGGTGGTAATGGTCATCAAAACAACAGTACAAGAAATAAAACCTAAAATAGCATCATAGCACTACAGCTACTGTAAACAAAACAAAGTGTGACATATCGGTGAAGCACTCTTCAGTGTTGCGTTGGCACAGATGGGAAGCCGTTAACTTGGGGAGCGACCGGGATGTATGATGCTGTCTATGGGGATACGTCGGCTTGAGGACGAGAACTTCACCGACACAAAATAGTACTTTATAGTATGCTATAGTACGTTGTAGTACGTTACAGACTATAGTACCATTTAGTACATCATATGATATAACCGTATATTGTCATAAACCTATAGGTGAACCGCGAGAACGATTCCGTGACATGGCCTTCAGAGGGCCGTTACTGCCAAGGAAGGACGTTGCGGAGAAAATAGCAACTTGCATGCGTGGCCCTTAAGCATTGCACTGCATCAAAAACATTGACAGTCTTCCTTAAAGTGACTCTGTTGCCTGCTGGAAGTTCTCTACTATAAGTTTAACTAAGTGAGCAGCATCGCTTGTACAAGTACGGAGGCTGTCACCTTCGAGATGGTATTGATCTGCATCACAGCCAACTTCACCAGCTTCTCGACTAGCTCCTCGCTGGGCCATCCAGGATCTGTACAAACTCATGTAAACCCCAGAGCCAACCCGAATCAAACTTGGGAAATTCATCACTCGCTCGCCTTTGGCTTACGACTCTTTCCGCTAAAATGGACCCAACGACGTGATCGTCATCGCCGTCGTTGGTAGCTGCAGCAGCCGTGGTGCTCGTTGTCGCAGGCGTCGTAGTAGAAGCGATAGTAGCAGTAGTAGTGGTAGTAGTAGTAGTAGTAGTAGCAGTAGCAGTAGCAGTAGCAGTAGCAGTAGCAGTAGCAGTAGCAGTAGCAGTAGTAGTAGTAGTAGTAGTAGTAGTAGTAGTAGTAGTAGTAGTAGTAGTAGTAGTAGTAGTAGTAGCAGTAGCAGCAGTAGTAGTAGTAGTAGTAGTAGTAGTAGTAGTAGTAGTAGTATCAGTTGTTGTTGTGGTTGTAGTCGCAGTAGTACTAGTAGTAGCACATAGTGTGCTGCATTGAATGCGCATTTTGGTCTCTGTTGGAGAACCTGAACTCGTGGATTTCGGGGTTTAATCAACCTAAAACGGCTAAGAATGGGGCAGTGGACGGATGAATGTTGTCCAAACTCTTCAACAACCTGCCGGGGCGCATGCAAGTCCCTTGCTTCAATGCTTGGAAATTTCGCACTGCGGCAGGACGGGCCCAGATGCGGTACGGGCCTGGAACAGGCTTCCACAGTCGGTCTGTGCTTTTGGCAGCAGCAGTGGACACAGGAGCAATAGTCACAGTCGCCTCCGAAGCAGCTGCAGAAGTCTCAGTCGGCATGGTGGAGGTTGTGGTCGTGGTGGTGCTAGCGGTGAGGGCGGGGGGGGGAGGGTGATAGTTGTGGTCGAAGTCGTAGTCGTAGCAGTGGCAGTGGGTCGAGGGGGAGAGCTGTTGAACATTTTTCTGTTCCTGGACCTGATATGATAGCCTCAAACTTGCTGGCCATGAGGGTTGAAATTCGGCGTCTGCGGTTGGCTGCTCTGTGTTCTAAAGCATACAAGCTTTGGTTCTCCCTCAGCGCAGCGGATGCTCCTCCTGCGTCTCTCCACCACGCGTGTACGTACCTGACGCAAGGAGATAACTAGTCATGATAAGTCATGATGATCCTCCAGAGAGGCCAGAGACGGCATGCAGCGAACCAAGACACGGGCCCTGCAGAACCCATCACAGGATTTCACCACGGAGTCTAAACCCAGAAACACCAAGATCTTCAGATGGTGCATGATCTAGAGTCCAGGGATTTGGGGAATTTGGGGTGTGCAGGTCGCAGGTCGAGCTTAGTCCTGGTAGAGGTTTCATCGTCTTCGCCACAACCACTGCCCGGGCAGTGCGTCCGCTGAGGCTTGGGGACTTTTCTTTTCAAGTGCCTGTGAAAGGCTCTACCCTTGCACTTTGAGCGAGTTAATGCATGCTGGTGATGATGGTGATGGTAAAGATGACGATGGCGACGATGATGATGACGGTGATGACGATGGCGATGACGACGACGGTGTTGGTGATGGTGACTATGGCAATGATGACGACGACTATGATGCTGATGATGATGATGATGATTCCCATGTTGCGATGTGACGACCATTGTGCTGATGATGATGGCGATGATGATGATGATGATGGTGATGATGATGATGATGGTGTTGATGATGTTGATGACGAGGGTGGAATCAACGAGGATAACCATCAGAATGGTACTCATGAGAGTTCTAATATGACAATGATGATGACGAGGATGATGATGATGACGATGATGGTGATAACAATGACAACTAGTGACAATCATGCCGGCCATGCAGAGGATGGGATTACGATACCGACAACCAGTCGACAAAAAAACACCACCACGACGACGACGATGACTACATCGATGGCCACGAGAACAACGGCGGCGGCCGCTGTGCCGGTACCATGAACATATAAGGTGCCCGAGCTCTGCACCTTCCACTTCCTCAGCCCCAAGGTTTTGCTGTCGCCTCAGGAGGCTCGCCGAACTGCAGGAGCGGTGAAAGGCCCCGGTTGCTCTTAGGGTGGGAGAGTGCAACAGAACATGATGTTGGGGAGGGATGCTTTGATTGTGAGTTACTGCGCTGCGACCAAGTTGCAAGTGCAACGCGGCTATATAATTGCAGCTAGTTGCCGCGGAGAACGATTCCAGCGAGACCCCGAAACAACCCAGCACGGTCCGTCGACAACAGCAGCAGCTCGGCGAACCGGGATGTGGCCACCAGTAAGACGAATAAGGTGATAGACATCGTCACCGACCCTGCATCCCGGACCCTAACTAAACCCCTAAGCCCGGGAACCCTAAAAAAACGCAAAACCCTAAACCCCTAAAGCCCTAAACCCCCAAACCCTAAACCTCTAAACCCCTCAACTGCTCAGAGTGCCGAGGCACGTCACGAAGCTCGAATGCCGAAGGCAAGGGATGTCTTCGGCCCTCGAAGCCTGGGTGGTACTTTCGCTTTTTTCGGTGGTTTAGGGTTGAGGGTTTTAGGGCCTTTAGGGCTTTAGGGTTCTGTTGATTTAAAAGTTTTAGGTTTTAGGGTTTTAGAGCCTTCAGCTGTTCAGGGTTTGGGGGCATGGGTACGGGGCGCCTTGTCTGAAGCCAGAACCCCGTGTACGCTCTAGGTCGAAACACTTAGGCGATACGGAACTTGGCAACTGCCAGGCGACTCGGACAAGACCGCTCCTCCAGTCCGGAACCGAAGTGCAACAGGGACTTGGCAGATCTTCGACTGCAGATATGGCAACAAACGGAAGACAGAGACTCTGTTGCCAGAGAAGAGTGGCAGGACGACACTATTCACAGAAAACCCTCGGCAGAACTTCTATTTTTTTTTTGGGGGGGGGTCCGTATTATAACTATGGTATCATCTACTACCAACTTTTTGTTGGGGGGGGTTCCTTATTATAACTATAGTATCATATACCCCCAAAACCCAATTCTGACCATTAAGGCCCCCTGTTACCGGCTTCCTGGGGCCAGCACGGCCGAGAGTCTGCCCTGACTGCCCTCGGAGGAGCGATCCTTCAACAAGGAAGTCGTCGACATATAACAAATATATATGTATATATATATATATATACTAGGATACCCAGTAACCCAAGAATACAAAGGCCTCTCTTTTTGGTATTGGGTAACTTTATAAGGAACCCAGGACTACAAAAAGGGAATAAGGGTACTACTGGGCATCCTAGTATATGTATATATATAAAAAAACATATACATATATCATAATATATATATATATATATATATATATATCATATCATAAGAAATATATGCATATGTATATATATATATATATGTATGAGCACCCTGCATAACGAGGATTATGGCGTTTGGCGACCCCTACGAACTGCCCATCTTAGTCAGGGCGTAATATTAATCTGGTTGCGAAGACGCACTTCTTTCACTCCGTCCGGGTGGATTGCTGAGGTTTCAATGCGAGCCAGATGGTGCTTTGGCCAGTAATACAAGTGCCCACAGAGAACTCATGTAACTAAGTAAGACCCAGCCCCTTAACCCTGAATTTAACAACTTTATAAACCCCAACCGTAACCGAAACCCTACAAACTTCAATTAAATTCTCGTCAACTCCTGAAACCCCATCAACTCACCCCTCGAACCCGACTCCACCCTAAAATTTCAAAAGTACCCTCAAATTTTCAACGCCGCGTCTCCCTGTCATCCCAACCACGAAGACGCTCCTCGTCTTTTCCGTAGCCTCCAGCGAAGGAAAGGCCTGGAAAGGAAAGTCAAAGCACTCAAAACTCCCCATAGTAGAAGCCAGAAAATTGGAACATGGCTTTCGGAGGATTAGCGCTAGGATCCCTTATGCTTTACCTTAAGGGCATGGGGATAATGATGTTCCAACTTTCTGGCTTCTACTGTAAACCTCCTTACTGAAGCCTGAACCCTGCAAGTAGGTCCTCTATAGTCGATAGGGGTTTAGAAGCTTGTGTCAAGTGTTGTTGTGTTTTGTCCGGATTTAATGGTACTTTGGCATGCTTGCCTGGTCTGCTATGGTTTGATGAGGTCTGTTCTTGTGACTAAGGTTCTGTCAAAGTGGTGAGGAACTTCGGCTGAAATACGCCTTCCCGAAAGTTGCAACATAAATACAAATGCCAATCTTCAACACCCGGCAAAACTATTCAAAAAAATAAATATAAGCACATAAGACCAGATTTGGCTCAGGAATCCTTGCACGGCAAGCTTGCGACGCCCCCTACAGCTTGTGCCCACAGTCTCGACTCACCGCAACTTATGATTGAAGTTTAAGGTTTAGGCTATTAGTGCTACGCAACTTATGATTGAAGTTTAAGAGTTTAAGGTTTAGGCTATCAGCGTGGGAGCTTACTTACAGTATTTATTGTTTTGAATGCTCATGTTCGCTGCAGCTTTAGGTTCGACTTCTCAGGGTTTGATCTTATTGCTGGCTTAGGTTTCGGGTTTTGGGCTTTGGTGCCTAAACCTAAATCCCAGCCTAGCCTAAACTGGCCTAAACCCGAAACTCAAAACCTCAAAACCCTTACACTATCGCCTAAACAGGTTTAAACCCTAAACCCCTTACCCCAGAGCCTAAATTGGCCAAACCCCTATAAACTCTCAACCCCTAATTCCTAACCCTACTTGCATTTTGGACAGGGGTTGTGGCACTGGGTGAGACCCGGGCCATCAGAGCTTCCGAAAGGCGACCAAGGATCCACGGACTGACCCTGAAGGGCGCAGGGCTTAGGGCTTCAGGGTTCTTCTGACTTAAAGGCTCTAGGTTTTTCTTTTTTTGAGGGCTCTTTCCGACTGCCGAACAGCTAGAAGGCTTTAGGGCTTAGGGTTCAAGGCCTTAGGCTTCGAGGCCTTGGGAGCCTAGGGTTCTTGCGGGTTTGGGCTTGAGGGCTTAGGGCCTTAGACTTTGAGGGCTTCGGGGTTTAGGGTTGAAGGATCCTCAGGGTTATGGCTTCGAGCAGAAGAGAGTTTTAACAAAGGGTTGCTGTATGGTTCGGACTCGAGTTTGGGGTGGGTTTCCCTCAAGCCGGGCTGGTGGCTCGAAAGAGCCTTTCAAAACATCTGCCATGGCTGCTATTTCTGTTGATATCACACTACTATTCATATTACGATTACTACTATTTCTCTTCTTCTTGACTTAGCATGATTGAGATTACAGCTATCATCATGAACAGTCTTTACAACAATTCTAGTACTACAACTGTTGACCACGCTTTCTGTCCGGCTGGTATCTTCCAAAATGCGTGCCATGAGGCAGAAGTAGCAAGATGGGGGCAACAAACACATGAAGCTTCTAGACTCCAATCCCCGAGTTCGGAGAAATAGCTCCATTAGTAGTAGATAGTAGTAGTAGTAGTAGTAGTAGTAGTCGTCGTCGTCGTCGTCGTCGTCGTCGTCGTCGTCGTCGTAGTCGTAGTCGTAGTCGTAGTCGTAGTCGTCGTAGTCGTAGTAGTAGTAGTAGTAGTAGTAGTAGTAGTAGTAGTAGCATCTGAACCAACCAGACACGTACCGATGCAAAGAATACACCAGCCTCCAAGTCGCCTTCGATACTCTGAACAACGCTCCGACGATGACTAAGGCAGGGAAACCCCTCTATTCACTGCGACCGTGGGAGCCTCTACTACCATCGTGGTTCTGGGTTCGTGTGACGATGTTAGCTGCTACAAGTGCTCCCTGAAGAGAGAGTCGAAGATCAATAGGCACACATCCCAGCCGAGACGGCGCACCGGAAGCCCACCACTGGTGTCGGCACCATGCCTTGCAACGGAGCTTTGACTCTCCCTTCCATAGTACGGTTTCAAAGGGGTCTCGACCTTCATCTCCGGTTTGGTTCTTGGGTTTTCGGCATGTTAGGGCTGAGGGACTGCGCGTTCCAGGGATGTTGAGAGCCCGGTGATGTTGGAAGACAGGAAAACCTTGCACCCGAAACTCCAAGAAGCTGTTAACCACGAAAGCCCGCAGTGAAGTCGTCCTATGCCGCCAATTCCAAACCCACGCTCCCTCAAAAATCACAAGCGCCTAGGCATAAGCTTTAAATGACAGCTACTGAACACAAACCGCATCGGGAGTGGGCCTGGCTCGCTGAAACCCATCTACCTTGACGCGGGTGGCCTGCCGCTAGAATTGAAGCATGGGCTGTGATGGTATGCTTTGGGTCATGGGCACAACTGCCACTGACTGAGGGTTAGGGTCGAACGTTTGGGGTCTGTTTCTCCAGCTTGCGGTCTTCCACAACATATTGCAGTATTGCAGTATTCGACGATGTGGCAGCGGACAGTGTGCACGAATATTTTGTCGAATGTTGTAGTGGCTGGAAATATTGGTTGAAGCCAACCTACATCGGTGATGACGGCGGTGATGATGGCGGTGATGAACGGATGCCCTGGTGATAAATCGACATGCGGCTGGTGCTTCAGCTGCTGAGAATGAAGATGAAGACGAATGAACAATAGGAGTGAACAAGGAACACTGTTTAAGGGGATGGTGACGAGGGTGAAGACCACAACGATACAAAGCGTATGGATCATGAGCATGAGGGTGGCGATGATGATCACGAAGACATGACGATTTTGACGCAGATAGTGATCCAACCGACGATGCTGTTTCGCAGATGTCCCATACAAAAAACCAGATGCAGTAACAGGGACCTTCATCAGAACTCGACCCTGGAGTCCGTAGTTTCCGCACTTGTGGAACGCCTGCATCATCCAATAACGAAAAGGCGACAACGCGCGGTGTGATCCTGGCAGGAGTCTGCGCAGGTGCACCGCCAGGTTCTCGCTGACGCCGGAAGAGACCAGGTAGCCAGCGATCAAAAGGTTTCGGGGCAGATTCGAACTCGATTCCTTTTGATTTAGGGGCCTTGTAACATAATAAATACCAGTACTATTTTGGGCACCAAAACCCTATTCAAATTCTTAAGGCTCCTATAGTATGCCATTGGGAAAGAGAGCCTTGACGCACAGTTTTGCCGATGCCATGCCCCTCTAACCTCTTGAGGCCAGCTACCACGGACGCCAGCTAGTGAGATTAACGTCGCTGCATCAAAACTCCAGAGGCAGCCAGGCCCTTCAACTCCAGACCTTGTGTCTTGGAGTGACCCCTGCAAGGAAAACTCGGACCAGCCACCCACGTGTCGAGAGAACAACTGCAATGCTCATTGAACAGTGCATCCCTGAGTGGAGAGCTACGAAGACGATCGAAAGCAGAACAGCAACCAAGCAACACAAACTAGCACCAGCGCTGGTACTACAAATGCTAGTCGTAGCATATGGTTTTACAGTAGTACAAGTAGTAGTCTTCGTCGGCGGCGTATCGCAGTAGCTGCAGTAGCAGTAATTGGTAAAATCATAGCTAATGTCGCTACTTGCACTCCCTCAACTGCCCTCTCTCTTTGTCTATATCTCTGTGTCTCTGTAGACATGCCTTTGCAAACTCGTGTATGCGGTTAATCGGGAAGCGTCATGGCAAGGGACGTCACTGTTAAATTGATAGGCTGGCATCAGTGCACCTGAAGGCGGCCTCTGAAAATCCCTGATAGGCTTGACAGACCAGCACTACCAGACCGGAACACGCAGTACCAGTACCAGTGCCATCGAAGAAAAAAGAAGAACTTCACAAGCAGAAAGAAGAGACTCCTGCAGGGGCATCACAGCCGGCTGATACCCTCTCTATGCAATCCGGAGCTTCGCCGAATTCGCTCCACAAGTTTGGATTCCCACCAAAAGTGCGGGTTCGTTGGGTGTTCCCTTAACAGCACAGTCTTGTCGGAGAACATGCTTCGCGCATCTGAAACACCTCTTCTACTCTGCGAGCCTCGGGATACTCTACGAGCCGAGGTATAAGGCTAGGCACCCACGAACGAAAGTGAATCCCAAACCTCTAAAGTTTTGCGCATGGCTTCCATGCAGATAAGGGAGCGCACTATCCAACGCCCTGCACTTTCGTGTCAAGATGAAGTTAAATGCTCTTCAGCTTCCCTCTGTCGGGAGGCTGGAAGATGCCGTGGGGTCCTGAAGCTGACAGTTTTCCAATTCAAGGTTGAGGCTTGGAGTCGTCTTCCTGGGCTCAAGTTTAGGGGGAATCTGGCAAAGGGATTTGAGATGGTCAAAATTGTTCGCGGCAGCCTGCAACAATGTGATTTCCAGACCAAAAAGAACGTGCACTTTGACCCGAGAATCCAAAGCCCAAGCTCCCTCAACAGTCTGAAACGACCATGAAACCTCTGCCCCAAAGCCTAAACCAAATGAGAGACAAAAGCCAGCTGGAGTTCACCAGAGACGGAATTTCCCAGCCGAGACAGTCCTACAGGGCTGCACCTCCTCGACTGCGGAAGAAAATTCACATCAAACCTTTAAGCCGCACAAGACATCACTCAGTCTATGCTATGGAAAGCAAAGAACCGGTGAGCTACAAGGACAGCGCCCATGTCATGGAAACGACAAAGCTGAACTTGTGGGTTTATACGGAAAGTTTAGCAGCGACTCCCTCGTCTTATCCCCTGACGATGATGCTGGTGCTGATAATCATATTCGTCTTCCTCCTCCTCCTTCCTCCTCATCGTGATCAAGTCTTTTTGCTGATCCGCCCCTTCTGTGGAACAAACTCAACTTTGACCCTAAACCCTAAACCCTAAAGTCCACCACGATCTCGTTGGTGGTCTGCGGCGTCTCGCAGATCTGACAGGGCGCCAGCCACCAAGGCGACTGAGCCTGCCGGGCGGAGCGCTACACATTCTTAGCTTGAGGCTCAGGGAACAATGATGGGTCGGAACAATTTAGTATATGTGTAGATATGTATGTCAATGTAGCCCCAAACCCTTGCAAGTCGATCGCCAACATCTCGTGGTCGGACAAACACTGGGGTTTTGGGGCCCGTGCTACTTTGGGCTATCTAGCCTTACCATTAGTAGTTTAGGGTGTTGGGGTATAGTATACTACAACTAGAGCACGGAAGCATAAGGACTGATGTTGGTGGCGATTCAGGCTTCCAATTTCTGGTCTTGGAGGACTGACCGGCGATTGTTAGCGTTGGGGTTTTGGTGTTCACGGCATGTCCCTGCGACTGAATTCTAAGGCTCTAAGGGTTGTGTCAATTGAACGAGCTGAGCAGACACAGTTTTCGAACTTCCGAAGCAGGCGATTGTGACTGGCACCCCAACACCACAACGCAAAAAGAGCGCACCAATTCAGAAACTTTGAAGAATCTGGGAATCTAGGATTAACACGTCTTTGTTCTGCCATGCAACCTGAAAGCCCTGCAAATCTTAAACCAGCATCTCAATGGCACTGCACTTAACCGACAGCCCGCATTGTTCGCGTTGGCATCTCGAATTATGCACCCTTATGCAGACCTGAAGCCGTAAAGACCCACGGACGCCCCACCTTAAAAGCTTTTGCAGAGGATGCTTACCGTAGCCAGAGATCCTCCTATAATACTAACCCCTGAACCCTAACCCCAAAACCCAAAGCCTGAATTCTAAAACCCCTACTCCACAACCCCAAACCCTCAACCCTAAACCTAAACCCGTCTCAAACCTGAAACCCTTAACCTTAAACTCCAAAGCTCTAATTTGACCCGTAATGAATGAATCCCTAAACCTAAACCCTACCCCAAAAACTTATATAAACCCTCAACCTCAGACTCTAAAACCCCTAAACCCAATACCCCCGCCCCTAAACCTAAACCCTAAGCCCTGAACCCTTAACCCTAAACCCTCAATCCCTTAACCCTAAACCCCTAAACCCCCAAACCCTAAACCCTTGAACCCTAAACCCCTTAACCCCAAACCCTAAACCCTTGAACCCTTGAATCGAACCCGAAACCCCTAAACCCCTAACCCTAAACCCTTGAACCCTAAACCCCTAAACCCCTAAACCCCCTAATGAATGAAGTCGGGAAGCAGGGTCCGAGCTGGAGGAGAGGCGACCCGACACGGAGCTGGCCATGGTCTGCAGCCCTGCTGGCGGGATCTTTTTTTGGGGGGGCTTAGGGCTAAGGTTGAGGGTTTAGAGTTTAGGGCTTATGAGCTTCAGGGTTCAGAGTTTAGGGCTTAGGAGCTCCAGGGTTTACAGAGTTTAGAGTTTATAAGGTTTCGGGTGTGGAGTTTAGGGCTTATAAGGTTTAGGGCTTATAGGGCTTCGGGCTTATAGGGTTTAGGGTTTGTGGCTAAGGGCTTATAAGATTTAGGGTTCACGGTTGGGGGCATCGTGGAGTCAAGACTAGCTGCATTGAAAAGTACACTCGGGCGGAAAGTGAGAAGACATGCTTTGCCCAGTGCGCCGAAGAAGGCTTTTAGATCTTGGCTGGGCTTTTGTTTTTCGACGTCTAAGCTACTGCCGGCTTTGACCTGGGATTCAGACATCCGCAAACGTACGAGATGAACTTTGGGGCAGTTGAGGGTTTAAGGTTATAGGGCTTAGTAGGGTTTGATTTAAGGCTGGGGGTATAGGGTATAAAGTTCAGGCTGTAGGGAGGGGTTCGTAGACCCCCCCCATCCACCGCGGTGTTCTGACTCGCTTTGCTAAACTGCCACCTTGCACTGTGGAAGACGCAGACTCCGATGCAGCTGTGGCCAAGGACGAGAGTGACCGGGTAAACCTCGGACGCATGTGATCAGGAACAGCCTCCAGTGACCGTAAGCGCGTAGCAAAAAACACATACATGAGGAGGATGCTGAGGATGATGATATCGCCGAGGGCGGCGATGCTGATAACAATAACAGGCTGGTTGATGCCTGTGACGGTGATAGTGGTGAGAGCGGTGGTAGCAGTGGTGGTGGTGCTGCTGCGGTGGCGGGGCGGGCGGTAGCGCTGGTGGTGGCAGTGACGGCGGCGGCAGTTTGTGTTGAGGAAGGAGGAGGCTGCAGCGATGATGCACATGGTTGGGCCTGTGAATCACAACAGCTGAAGATCCAGATCGACCCCGACAGCACATGCTCCATCCTGAGGTCCACTGCAGCCAGATCGCTTCTGGTAGTACTTCGGCTTCTTTTCTTTGGCGGTGCAGGTGCCCATGGCCGTGAACAGAAGAGACTGCAGGATCTCAGCGACACTTGGATTTAGAATCGTTAATAGTCATATTACCAATATTCATCATCATTAGTTACACCA